GGAAACTCTTTTGTCTATGATTTCGCCTTAACATCGCTTTAGTTTCCCCTTAGCGACACTACTTTCGCCTTAAGGTACTGTTTTTAACCCACTTCATTGTTTTAGTTTCCCCCTATGGATACTTCTAAGCGTGTATATATATATATATATATATATATATATATGAATGTTAGTTTACTAGTCAAATGGCCAAGCGGTTAAGGCAGGAGCGCCACAAACCTACAGCCATAATATCGTCTTCTCGGATAAGGACTATAAACCGCGCTCATGTGCACTTTATAGAACCCAATACACCAGTGCACTGGTTCATACAGCCCATTAACCTGCGCTTACAGACCATTAGGTCCTTTGCATGATGCACCTACGTAAACATAAACAAAGTGATAGAATTAAAACCAAAACAAAATTCATTGATTGAAGTAAGCTGAAAATTACCTTGCGATTCTATTCGACCGTATTTCCTCTAGCTGAATCGTTTTACCAGTTAGGAAAAGATACGGTACTTTGATGAGAAACTTGAGCTTAGACAGAAACAGCCGGAGGGTTCCTGGACTCTTGAGCGTCTCAGTGACGACATCTGTCATGACAGAGTGGTCCAAGTCGAGACCAGTGCATGTGGGCATGCTAACCTGGTCGACACGTGAAATGGTTACTCTAGCCCATTAACCTGCGCTTCCAGACCATTAGGTCCTTTGTATGATGCACCTACGTAAACATAAACAAAGTGATAGAATTAAAACCAAAACAAAATTCATTGATTGAAGTAAGCTGAAAATTACCTTGCGATTCTATTCGACCGTATTTCCTCTAGCTGAATCGTTTTACCAGTTAGGAAAAGATACGGTACTTTGATGAGAAACTTGAGCTTAGACAGAAACAGCCGGAGGGTTCCTGGACTCTTGAGCGTCTCAGTGACGACATCTGTCATGACAGAGTGGTCCAAGTCGAGACCAGTGCATGTGGGCATGCTAACCTGGTCGACTTCCAACACTTGTGAATCCCATTCCACCGTTTGGTTCACATCTTGAAGGGTATCCATTACGTCCTATATAAAACAAAAAACATAACTGTACACATTATATATACTGTAATTTGTTTAAAGGTATACTGTCCCATGAAAGCAATACTACTAACAGTAATATTAATATCAATAATAATATCTCAATTTAAATCATCCAATGTCAAAATAGATCATGTAGAAGATTTTTTTTTCTGCAGAGTTTAATTTAAAAAAAAAGATTATTTGGGAAGTTGATTCCAAAGATGATGTACGCCTAGTATTTATTATGTTCCATTTTTATTGATTGATTTTTCATTGTACTTAAGCTTTAATCTCTGTAAATATTGGTTTCAATGTTCTGTACCTTTATCTCCTTTTTAAAAGGCACTTTAGAAATACTTAGTAGAGTAATAATAAGAATAAAGCAAAGAAGAATGTGACCAGTTTCATGATCTACACGCTATCTGAAGGCATCTGCTGGCAAGACAAACCATGGAAAAGTTGGAAAGCAGACAAGGAGGAATAGAAGCAATGGAGACTGGATATGAAATTACATACAGTCACATTAAGTTTACTGTACCTCTGGAGATGCCGAAATTGCAGAAGAGCAGCCATAGAGGTAGTGAATGCGTCCAGATGCTGCCTCATCGTTCAAAACTTGTTTCCACAATCGCAACTCTTGATAAACGCCGGTTAGGCTCCACTTAGTCTCCGGCCCAATTGGAAGAAGCTTTAGAAAATAATTTAAATATTTAAGAACTATTCTAAAAAACCATGTCATAAAAATACTGTATTATTTTCATATCTCTTATAAAAAGGTTTCATCAGGCAAAGCAGACTTGTACACTATAGGATTACCTTTCTCACAAAAGCATGATGTAGAGCCTCCAATCCTTGTGGTGCCTTGTTACCATGGAGATCAACTTTTTCATCATCCTGCAATGAATAAATGTTCTTCGTCGTTTAGAGAATGAATAAAAATTCATCTCTAAAAATGGGAAAACAGGTTGGTGAAAAATGGGAAAACAGGTCTGTAGGTTCTTTCCACACCCTAACCTCAAGATCCTTCATAGAGCCAGAGGATACAATTTATGTCATCTGTGGGATGTGAGTGAGTTTAAATATCATTGACTAGTTAAGCCACACTGATTGAAACTGTGAGGTGCAGAACAGTCAAATGTTGAGATAAAAACCAGCTCAGACCCAGCTGTTGTTTGTTTGTACAATATTACCCATGTAACAGTGTCTTTGGAAAAGGGCAAGAAGTTGTTGGCACACAGTGTGCTGGTCATTTGGTCACCAATACCATGGCATGTGGTGGCACGAGGCACATGTTTCGGTTGATCACATAGGACCTGATTTACTTCAATCAAACTTTACATTGTTCAATATTTGTTCAAAGATGGAAAGTTGGAAGGCTTATAAAAAGCAACAGTATATACCTGTACTTAATTCACGTTATGTGATCACTTCATCCTTATTATGCATTATGGATGCTGATAAAACTAAGAAGGTATGTTTTATGGCAATCTTTAATTCGCCCTCTTTATGAATTCAAATGATAAATTAATCGAAATGTTTTTAGTATAGAGCCACTAATGTCATTAAATAGTTTTTAAAAGAAGATTAAAATAAATGTGGGAAATAGCTATCATGAAAAATAGAAAAGTTTCATAAATGAGAAGTCAATTCTTTTCCTTGATATCCATTCCTTGATCAAATGATCTATTAAGATGGCTCAGGCTTTAATTAAATCCATGTCTTTCCCATAATTCGCCATGTTATTTTGACCTGTATGATAGAAATTGCTGATTACGATATACGTAATTAAACCTACCACACCGAATGAGGACTGGTATCGCTCAAGCGCAAAGAAATTTGCTTGACCCTGATCTAACTGGCCTCTCTGAAAAACCAAAACAAAATTATAACACTGCATAGAAAGACTTAACTAAGCTTTAGTAATTAACACCGCAAAACATACCTCATGGCAAGAGAACAAAATATGACGGAAACTAAGATAAATAGAAATACAGTATATAAGTGAACATGAAAGCGAAATATACAAGAGTCACCTTGCAAAGCTTTTAAAAACCACAGAGGGTGACCCTTCCAACTTATCCCAAGCTACATCTTTGCTAAGGACCACCTAGGTAATTACAACTAATGCCCCAAGCAAAAACCTCACAATAAGCCAACAGAAACGACAAAAAACTTTTGTAGCCTTTCTAAAAAAAAACCCATCTAACTACGATACTTTCCACAGAATATGAAATTTCAAAAAAAAGTTTATAATGTTAAAATCCATTATCTTTAGGTGGTGCAAATATTTATAAAATGTATTTCCATGAAGTCTGTGACTGTGAGACATGATCACATGACCAGTGATTGGGCAAGGCATTTTCCTGGTAGGATTCACAGAATTATGGACGTACTGTATATGGATGGATGGTAATATAACGGATGGAATGATGATAATCCCATGAAAAAATGATACTATCCAATGGAAAAATATATAGCCCATGGGAGGAGGTTAACATATCTGGATGTAACATCTGGATGTACTGTACCTATGGAAAGATGTAATCAAATAAATATACTGTAAAGTATAAAAAGAGAGACAAGTAAACCTGTTTATTGAAATTGGAATGTTGACAAAAAGCAGTAAAATGATGTGTTTTAAGGAGTTCTAGGAAAAGCATTGGAGCTACAGTCTTAACTTGGATATACCAGTAAATGTATGGAAAGTTGAGGCCTCAGGGGTAATAAAATTATATCACATTCATTTATCATGTTTTATAAGAAATATTCATTACAAGTGACTCGGTGTTTGTAGGTTTGTCTCATTTGCCATTTGAAATAGCTGGAAAATGTACCGGGGTAAAGGAATAAAATGAATGAAGTGTTAACAGAAAAGAAATCTGGCTAGGTACCAAAAAAAACCCCCAATTTAATCAACTATAACATGGCTCCAAAATGTAACAAATGCCTATGGGGTCCAAGAGTGAAGCACTAGTCACTATGGTAACGGTGCAGGGGTGTTTTTCTAGTCCAATGAGTCATTACCAGCATATCAGCTTGGTCTGTCTGACTATGTAGGAGAGAACTGATGAGTAAATTAAAGCTATCTGCCCTCCTCCCCCCGCCCCCCCAACTGGTGTTGTCATTCCCATGTTATCATTGATATACATATATATAGTCTGGGGAAATACTCATGTCATAAATTATTTAAAAATTTATAGCATTATAATGAATGACATATGACACCATGACAACAAAACCTAACCATGACCACCATAAGAGAGTTACCAACATCACCACACCATTTTTTTAGCAGTTTATGGTATCGTAGTACTGTACAAGACAAACCAGTATACTATCCATCAACAAAATTTTTTTTTCATCCCATGATTCTTCTGTATGTTTACTACTTGTACACAATTCCGGTCTATTTGATATTAAACACTACCTCTGCTATTGCTATATTAACAAAAAAAAAACCACTAGAATAAATGCAAAACATCAAAAATGTTTTGCTTTTTTATGTTGTTATTTCAAACTGCTGTTGTTCCTACCAATGCCTTTGATCGCTGGAAAAGTACAAGTTCATATGCCATATTGGAATCTGAATTAAAGAACAAATGTAATGATATGATTAAAAGCCAACTAAAGAAAGAAACAGATTTATTTCTGTCATACTCAAATAATGAGCCTTGATCTTGACTATGGACATACTGTAGTATGGCACTGTCAACCTTCAGAAAGCCATGCACAGACATACAATTTGTTTGATCAATACAGGCATATATTATTAGATATTGTTTGAGCCAACATTTTTGAGTTTGATTAAACAATGTGGAGCCTGAGATACAATATTATATACTGTTGTTATACAACAATTACATTTATGAAGACACTTGTAAACTATGAATTATATACACCATTTACACACTAAGGTACAGTGCCAAATGCACCAAAGCACACTCAACCAATGTCACAATATCAATCATGGGTACCAAGGTGAAACAGACAGACAATTCACTACATTCTAAGGCCACAATGACATAATCTATTGGTAACCAAGCCTATTTGTTATGTTAAGGCCAAGTAAACATAAAAGTGGCCACATACACATAAAACTCAGGAAAAAAAAAAAAAAAAAAAAAGTCCAGCCTCTTCTCTAATATATGTATACATTCAAAGCCACCAATATACTTACTGTGTGCTGAAAGAAATAATATATTTTCCAAAATATTTTAACCAATTTATTTTGGTTAATATTAACCCTTTCACTGCTACAGGTAAATACACCCCCAGTGCTGGACCTTTTTAGGAAGAAGGTTATTTTGAAATAAAATGCCAAAAACAAAATACTAAAAGAGGTTATTTTGAAATTGTTTTTGTGTGTTGGGGTGGGAAAGAGGCTGGCCTACAGGAAAAATGTTGAAATTGGAATTTTTAATTAGGTGGTCATGTGACCTTTGGGTGTCCATATTGGAAATCCCCTTTTTCATAAATCTGTAAAAAAAGATAGAAATTCTTATGCGATGCTGTTTTTTTTTCACTGGAAAATTCATGTTTGTCGGCAGAATCGTGAAAAAAGAAAATTCCCAAAAATCACAGTAAGATGAGTTTTTCGCAACAATTAGTCATTAATCCATATAATTCAGTAGAAATTGCCTCTAGTTCATATAAACAACTATAGAGGTGCCTGCAGTACGGGAACAATTTAAAAAGAATTATTTTCATATACCTGGTACTACCGGGTACGCACAATTCCACAACATTTTTTTCTACCAGGTAATACCGGGTATGCACAGCGGAAGGGTTAAAAGCAACATAAATATTACACATTTAGCTGTTTCTAGATCTACAGTAGAAGTATTATCAATAGGTCACTGGGAAAAAGAAAATCCCTAATTAGGTGATTTCAAGGTTGGGTGAGGGAGGGTTAGGTTGGTACACTATTTCTAAATAAGGTCAAATAAAAAAGTAGTTTCGTCCTAAAGCTTTTGTGGGAAGGGACAAGGCTCCCTTTATTTTGGTTTGTCACCTCTTTCAAAACAAGTTGTAGTGATAGCAAACAATCTGATCTGAACATTAGAGAAATAATAATAGGAATTTATGAGTATATTACCAGTAAGCCTACAGTACATATTCCAGAGACAATAGTAATAAGACGAGAAAGTATAATACATACGCCAAGTAATGAAATACATGCCATGATGGCGGGTATTTTAATACTTGGAGTATGTATTATACTTTATTACCTGAGATTAATCAGTGAACCTTTCGGCTTTTTTAAGATGAATTGAAATACTGAAAAAATTATTGAGGATTGATAGTAAAAGAAAGCAGATAGGGACAAGAAACTAATTATTTTTTTTGCTTGGCCTGTTAATGCATGCAAACTCACCTTCCTGTCCAACACACAGAGTGAAATGAGAAGTACCAGCAGAAATGATAAAGACAAGGTTATCATGCACCAAAATAAAGCAGTCTCAGCCAATGGGAGGGTCCAGGCGCTCCATTGCAACATGGTGTAACAATAGCTTCATGGGGACATGCTGATGTCAAGCAAACATATAAACTGTGTTACCACTTACGTTATCCTTGATGGCTGCTATTTAAATTTACTCTGCTGTTGAAAACAATTAAAAAAAACCCAGATATTATTACATTTTTCCTCTCAATGTTTTTCTGTACTTGCTTGTTAATCATATACAAAAAGCAACACTGTTCTCTTGTTGCCTACCAGTACTTTCTTTAATTATGCATAATGAATAATATTTACTCAATTTTCAATTAATTTGTTATTTTATTCTAATTCTACAAGGAAGTAAATTAATTATGCTACTGAATTGAAAAAAACACGTAGTACACAATAATGTGTGATAATTTGGTTAGTTTCGATTGCCAGGAGTCCTCATTTATCTTAAATTGTGCGACTCTTAATAATATCTTGCCATTTGCTGAATGTCTGTTGCGTAAATTTAAGTCGAACTGTAAGTGCAATGCTTTAGATTAAAGAGCTCCTGTAGATATATTGCTTTATTTTGAAGAGGCATGAATATATTTCCATTTTTCCAACAATATTTAAAGAGGGTGACCCTTCCAACTTCCTAGAAGGAAAGCTGGTATTAAGGGGGCCTGCCTTTGGTAAAAAATAAAATATCATACATTTTCAAAATGTAGAAGTAGAAAAATGATGATGTCTAATATAATTTAATACTGTAAATATAATATAGCAAAAAAAAATTTTAAAAATACAATACAAAATTGAATTATCAAGATCTAAAATACTTATAACTATATTAAATTAATAATCTTATATTTACGTTTAAAACACAAAGCAGTAAATGTAACAGTTCAACATCAAAAAGAAGGCAGTTAAAGGTGCAAAATTGCTAAAATGCTCTTTTAAAACATTCAAGTTTTGGCTTTGGAAATCTTGTCAACAATCTTTACTACATAGACAGGCCTACGCACTCCACAAAATAAACATTTGCTTTAACTGGTCAGGCATAGGCCACTATTGCAGGTTCGTTTGAAGTTTGTAAGTTGGTAGCACCAAAAATTAGCAGGTTGGTAAGTGTTGGTAATATTCACAATTATTTAGATAGACTTGTCTTTGAAAACTGTTAAGTGTATACTGGATGTGATAACATGCTGGTTGGCAGCAAAAAAAACTACAGAAGTAGGCCTACTGTGTATCAATTTTGATGAATCAGTAGGCACTAAGTTGTACTGGGGCTTGACCTAGTGTAGACTAGGGTCTATACAAACACACCTTTGTATAAATTTTTATTGTGGCTTAGGCTAGCTCTATTTTAATTTAGTAAAACCAAACTACTACCAACTCAACCGACGACAATACATTTTTCAACCCAGGTCCCAATTTGTGCATCCTTGTTGAATTGAGCCTAGGCCTGGCATGTGTCTATCTGCTGTTTAGGTTCTCTGATTGCCGGTGTGCTATATGGAATTATTGATTATATCACAAACAATTAATTATTAACATTCCTAGCCCTGGATTAATACGGACGACAAACAGTACCAAGATTACATACCGTTTCTCCTACCACCAGTAACGTCGCTTGTCTACCGTAGCTGCACTGTTTACGGGATCTCTTGTGACCCGTGACATAAAACACGGTTGTTTCCTTATTAGCTTGTGTTTCCGTGTGACCCGTAATTTGTCTCATTAAACACGGTTGTTTCAGATGTAGCCTACTGTCAAGAAACTCAAAAAGAAAAAAAAAAAAAAAAAAAAAAAAAAAAAAAAAAATCCATTTCAATTTTGAATTCATCAATTAAAGACCAAAAGGTTAGTAAATTTGAATGGGACACGGATCGAAAAAAAAAATCATTTTCACTCTTTTATATTTCCATGAGATGTCTGTAATAGAAATCTCAGACATCATTGGCCACCGTGAAGTATAAAAACATAATGATAATAATTTCGAAAATATTGTACAGTATGCTAATAATAATTTATTTTATTTTATTTTATTTTCATTTACAATTTATTTAACCAGAATAAAACACATTCAAAGCTTAGGCCTAATACTACAAAGAGAAAAACTAACTTGTTATTAACTTTGTTTTTATTAGCTATTGATATTAATAATAATAATAATAATAATAATAATAATAATAATAATAATAATAATAATAAATGATAATAGTAATAATAATAATGATAATATTAATAATAATAATAATAATAATATGATAATTCACAGAAAAATCGGATTAGTTCGTTTTTAGTATGATGCCTACATATTAAATGAGAAGTTTGTTATTGAAGTATCGTTATTATTGTCATTATTGTTGTTACATCACTACTGTTGCTACTATTATTATTACCATAATTTCCATTCACATTTATACTATTATGCTGTAACACGTATAATGTAATAACTGTGAGTAACAAATAAGTAGTTCATTCAAATAAACAGTGTGGGTGGGTACAGTATGACCTTCACGAAAGAGAGAAAGAGAGAAAATCTAATGAGGAGATGGCGTAACGGGGGAGGAGGTCTTTACGGTGCCTTAATCGCACCCCATTTTTCTTCAAATGTGAAAAAATAATAGTAAATTAATGTAAATAAATCGAAAGGTAAATTACTTTAGACATTTACAACCAATGATGTAGTCATAGCCATTAATCCGGGACTTGTTTCGCCTTGCATGAAAGTTCAGTGGATGTAAGCCTATTTCTATTCAGCATCCCCCTTTCGCCACTGGGAGATAGTTAATGCTTTATATCTCTGAATTCTGAAAAGTATTGGGCCTTATTTCACAAATTAGGTATGGTCCAATGATAGGCCTACTCTATGCTAAAAAGCAGTGCAGTAACCTCAAATATTATTATTATTTGAATACCTAACTCATTTAACCCAACCATAAACAGACGGAGGAGTATAGTTTTTGCTGATTTGCAGACATTGAGTTGAGGCGTCTACTACAAAAATCCTTCAATTGATTAGTTTGCTAACATTGCAACTCATTTACCTTGCGGCGTCACATCAAACTCATTTTGATCTTCTGTCACTGTACTTAGTGGCGTATTTAGGGGTGCCCGGTGGGGGGGGGCTGTCTCTCCCCGCCCCTCCAAAAAATGACTCGCCCCCCCCCCCCCACCCAAGTCGCCAAACTTTCTAACAGTTTGAACAGGTTTTCCGTTAAGAAAATGTGTATCCTGTTAGTGTTTGATATTTATTTATGTATTTTTTGGCATTAACCATATTAAATGTTGTGTAGGCCTATACAGTTTATTCGAATAAACACCCCTGGGCGTTTAGTGTTGAGAATGGTATTAGGGGAAGTTTATTCGAGGGATTGTTTTGTTGGTAAAACGGATATGTGTATAGGCCTATACTCAAATAAACGCCCTTAATTTCACTGCGTTAGAAATAATATTTTTAAAAAAATGATTTACACTAGGCTGAAGTATTACAGAAGGCCCACTGCCTGCTTCGTACGTACGTTGCAAATATTTGGCAAAAAATAGACCCGTGTTCGTCTCGAACCAGGATAGCTCAGCGGCTGGTGGTACGCATGCGTATTATCCATGTCGTAGAAATTTAAAAAAATTAAAGAATTAAGTGGAAATTACTGGTGATCACGTTGTTGAGAGAAACGAAAAAGAAATAAAAATATTTAAAATAAATTAATAAATTTAAACATAATTTATCAATCGGACTAATCATATAGGTCTAGCGCCACCACAGGTAATTGATCTTCCAACTTTATACGCGATCGATCCATCGATCCATCCATCCGTCTCGAGTTACGACAAATTGAGCGGTCAAAGGCCATGTAGTTTCCACCCACACACACTCGCTCGCTGGGAGGTGGCAAAGACAAGAGTCAAGTCTAGAATTAGAAGAATAACAGTAACTTTTTATTGCTGTGGTTGTTGTAGTTGTTAACTTTAGGTAGGATATTTCATATTCTCATGATGTGGTTTTAATTAACCTACAGTATATGTATTAAAGAGAACCAGTACCGCTGTACTTCTCTAAACTGAGATTTAACAAAAAATATTGATATTAATGACTTCTTTTCTTCACTTCAGCGGCTTTACTCTCTCGACTTTACCCATGGCATGGAGGAAGAAAATATTGGCAGTCCAGTAGTAGTAGTAGACAGGCGGCCGAGACCTGCTGGTGTGTAGGTAGGCAGGCCTTTTGAATACCGGCCTCCTTCGGATCTTACTACAGTGACACTCCAGCGACTGCAAAATAACACAAAGTGTTAACAAAGTTGTTCGATAATTCATGATTTATTTGATATCGAATAAAAATAACTCATATGCCAAGACTGACTGAAAAATGTAGGCAGCTAGGCCTAGGCCCCAATATTTCAGGTAGCAGGTCAAAATGGCAATGAACCATAACAGCAATGACCAAAACGGCAATAAACCAAAACGGCAGTGATAAGTACCAAAACGGCAGCAGACCAAAATGGCAATGACAAATACCAAAACGACATTATACAAAGGAGCAAAATCAATATCTGAAGAGCAAGCGCCAACAAGCACGGGACAAATTGTTTAGATGTTACATTTTGTCTGTATTTTAAAGTTTTATTTATTTGGATATTTACTGCTTTTATATTGTGTTTCCCCTAATCCTCTTATTATTGAATTTTTATGTTGTTATATTGTTGTTTTTTCGCGTTTTTACTTCTATGACATAAATTGCTGTAGCCTCATTTTGTGTGTATTTTTTACGTTTTTTTTAAAAGTTATATTTATTTGAATGTTAACTGCTTTTATAGTCTATATAGTGTTTCCCCCAATCTTTCTATTATTGAATTTTTATGTTATATTGTTATTAGGCCTGTTATACTTTTTATTATTATTAATGTTTTTTCGCATTATAAGGGCAAATAGAAAAATTTATTAGATTATCACTCCTGTCCACGTCAAAAATTCGGGAAATATTGATGCGGGAATGAAAAAAAAAGTTTTTTTTGCTGCATCAATTATTTCAACAGCATAAAAATAACAATGCAATTTTGTGACTTCTAATACATTTTCTTTAAAAAACTATAAAATTAAACCAGTTTTTATACAATATTTACTATTACAGACCAAATATAAACAGTCCCCTCATTGTTAAAAACAAAAGTGAAATAATTTATTGTTCCAATTAAAAAAAAAACCAATACTGCCCAGCCTCATTAATTTTTTAAAAAAAGAGTGATAATCTAATAATAATTTTTTCTATGTGCCCTAACATAAATTGTTGTCTCATTGTGTCTGTATTTTAAAGTTTTATTTATTTGAATGTTTACTGCTTTTATATTGTTTTCCCAATCTTTATTTATTGAATTTTTATGTTGTTATTATAGTGATAGTGATAATCTAATAATAATTTTTTCTATGTGCCCTAACATAAATTGTTGTCTCATTGTGTCTGTATTTTAAAGTTTTATTTATTTGAATGTTTACTGCTTTTATATTGTTTTCCCAATCTTTATTTATTGAATTTGTATGTTGTTATTATTATTATTATTGTTATCATAGCTACCAACTTTTCATAAAAGAAATCTGAGAGAACTTGTGTTGTGTAGCAACGTAACATTGGCTGGGGGCCGGAGGGAGGGGCACTGGGGGCCCAGGTTGACAAGCCTTTGATGCTCGCGCAATCTGAGCATTTTCACTACTGATTTGATTGGTCTTGGACACTAAATTAACAAAAAGTTATACTCATTTAAATTTGACCAAAGTACAGTATTGTAAACTTAGGATGAGTACCCAACAGTTGCTTGGTGTAAAATTAAAACAATTTTTACAGACTCACTTTATTCATGAATCACGATGTACAGACAGTACTTTCATGTGGAAAACAGATATACAAACAAACAAACCATGTGCGGTGCATTACTGGGTAATAAAAGCACACTGACATTAGCGGGCGTAAAGGCCATCATTTATTTACGATTCTAACGTCAAGCGTACTGGGCTTGCACATAGCCTAGGGTTACTCTTTGCTACACTATAAGCACTACAGACAAATGGCAAATGATCTGTTTATTGCATATTACTGTATATGCAGTTTGCAAATCATTGTTTATTAGTTTAAAAATCTTAATCCTTGAGTAACCTTGAAATCCGTGAGTTTTTGTTCATCTGTAGTAAAAAGTAAAATTATTTGTGAGTCTCACGGTCAATCCTTATAAGTTGGCAACTATGTTATTATTATTATTAATGTTTTTTTACGTTTTTACTTCTATGACATAAATTGCTGTAGCCTCATTTTGTGTGTATTTTTAAAGTTTTATTTATTTATTTGGTTGCCGTTTTGGTCCATTGCCATTCTGGTCAAAAAGTGTTGCCGTTTTGGTTTTTTGCTGTTTTGGTCATTACTAAAATTAAACATGTTAATGATCAGTTGACGATTGTAATAATAAAAATATTTATATATTAATAATATATTAATTAATTAAAATATTAAGATATTAAGTTCAATCTAATTATATTATAAAATAATATTGATAATAGTGTATTATATAATAATAAATTATTCATAGTAATTATATTAATGTTAAAAATAATTTACTTAATAAGTGTTCTAGCTTTAAGCTTATAGCTGTGTTGAAATCTTGAAAAAAGACAGCAGCCGCCCTCCTCCCCGAGGCTTTGCGCTTAATAATAATATTTTAAAATGTTGGCTTGAATTAGATAGGCCTATATCAGTGGCGGTCCTAGCACCGCCACTGATTCTGTAAAACGCGTACGTGAAAACAAGAGCCCATACTCGTGCAATAGTAGGACACAGTTGCGCAATAGAAGAATCTGTTCTAAATATATTTTTAAAATGTTTATCAAGGTTTGAAACTGATCGGTGACTTTAATTTCCATCCATGTGAAAATGTGCACTGGCAGATGTTGATCTGGTAGGTTGTGTAAAGGTAGTTATGTTACTTTGTTGCTTTGTGCCAAGTAATACCCTTTCAAAATATTGCTTAAAATGCTTCAATTTAAATGATAGATTGATGTTTTTCCTTTCCAGGCTATGTCCAGTTAACATGCTGTATCTGTCACAAATACAAGACATAGCTATGAATACCAAAAGCATCTTTCTGGAAAAAGATTCACTGTCTATTGGAGAAAAGAACATTACCACACACATCAATAACAAGCATATCTTCCGGTCCATCATTGAATGGTTTAAGACATGGACAGTATGGCAAAGAAAATTTGTCCTATGTGGTGTTACAGATAGGTGCTCTAATACTCAATTACAATATATTTTAACAGCTTTGGAACCAGTTTTTCATCGAGACTTCAGAAATGCCTTGACTGGAAATTATCCAATATGTAAATCACAGGCAAAATCATTGAATAAACATCCATTGTGGGCTATTTTGTCACCTAATACTGTTGCTCAGAATAAGACTTTGGAATCATTTGTATATGATTATGTTAAGAACATTGTTGCAAGTGCACAAAATCGTGCTAGTAAAAGCTATGAAGGAACAGTCAGTGACCAATCATCAATACAAAATGCAACAAAGAATGATGAGATGCTACTTAAAATGGGAGATAAGTTTATGACAACAGGAACTGAAGATAAGCAAAAATGTCAAAGTAAGTAATCCAAAAGTTTAAATGACTTGATTGATAGATTGACTGACTTTATTAACCTTACTGTCAAATATTTTCTTTTATTTCCTTTTTAGAACCAGTCATCATCATTATTAGAATCACCACCAATTTCCCCTTCAACCTCATTCTTTATCATGTCATCATTATCATTATTAACCATTTTCATTTTTATAAAAGCATTGAAAAAAAGAACAAGTTTAATGCTAAATAGCAAAACACTGAAACTGAATCCAGTCTGATACCACATCCAACTGATATTTTGTAGGTCAGAAAAAGGCAATTCCAGACCTTGATAGATTAGTGGAAGAGTCAATGGACAGTTTTGGAATAGATTGGAGAGAGGCTTACTGTGAACTGAAGACGATTGTAGGGAATTTGAAAATGACTTACTATCACTCATCAGGTATGTTTAAAGATCTGTGTTTAAGCAAATGTGCTTGATTCAATATTTAAATTGCTTACTTTGTATATTTTAAGTAAGTTATTAACTTTTAAATTAGAGCAAAATATTTTCTTTGCCAAGCAGGGGCTTAGCCAGAAAAAAACGAAATAGCCGTCCGAAATGGAAGCCAGTGGGCGTGGCCCTCAGCCGATGGGTGGACCACACCCACTCGGGACATTATGATCGTTAGAGGGCATTTAAAGGTGTTTAAATGTTGGAATTTTGTCTTCAAAGGAATAGTGTTGAATTAGCTATCACAAAGATATTTTAGTTATAGACATAGATTTCGCACAGCTACGATTGCTCTCATTGTATCTAGTTTATGCAGATGCATCTTCATCTCTCGCCTTTGTCTAGTGCAAATGTTGTAAGTAAACTTTTCAACGGGTAGGCAAAAACAGGGGGAAAAGCCTTCCTTTTTTTTAAATCCCCACTGAATATTGGTATGAAAACATCCTACATTCAATCATTAAAGATTGTTTTTATCAAAAGTAAATATGCTTTAGTTTTAGTTTAATGTAACATTTGATAGATTTGAAGAATATAAAGAATTTGCTAAAGGTAGACCAGGCCCAAATAGGCTAGGCCAAGCCGTCCAGGCCGTCCCGGTAAAAGTGGCCATCGTAAATAATTGTTGGTCGTCCAAAAGACGGCCGGACAGCTTGCTGGCTAAGCCTATGTTGCCAAGCAACAGACACATCAATAACTCTCTTCATATATGAATATGAATGATGTTTCCCCTACTTGATATGTTGTCATAAGCCCCTTTCAGATAGACATTTGCCGCAATATTGCGGTAAGCATGCCGGCACATAACCAGTCTGTACCCTTTCACACATCGCCTTTGTTACCGCAATATTGCGGTAATCTTGCGCTTTTGTGGCTGAAAGGGTCCTATAGAATGGTGTAATATTGGCGGTTTAAATACCATCCCGCAATTGTTTTCAACTTTAACCTTGTTTGTTTATGCATAAATGCACAAGCCGGCTTGATTGCCGCAATATCGAGTAGACCCTTTCGGACAGAGCAAGCCAGTAACTGTTACCGCAATATTACTAGGGTGCAAGGTGGCTTAAAGTAAGCCGGCATATTGGTGTATCGACCCTTTTAGACAGCAACCCATGCTGGCGTGCTTACCGCAATATTGCGGTATTGCAGCTCTGTCTGAAAGGGGCTATTCTGAATGTTCAATACGTCCCCAAATGCTGCTGTTCATATATACTTTGCAAGACGGGTTAATTACCTGTAATACGGACAGCATGTAATGGCACTGTGGTTTAGGATTTGAAACATGGCCTTCAGTCCAAGGAATTTGGGTTCATAATGAGACTATTTAATTTATTAAATGGATTAATGGATAATACCGGATTCAGGGCTTAGGAAGCAGGATTCAAATAAATTTAGTTAAATAACCCAAACATATTTGATTTCATTTTTTTTACAATAAGCCAAATAACTGAAAATATATCAATTTGGGATAACCTATTTTTGACATATGAATGAATGATCAAACTGATAGCCAATGAAGTGGTAAATAAGGTTTACAGTTTACATGTTTTACCGTAGCTAGTAATCAACACATTTGTACCTATCCGATACATTCATACCGGCACATCTAAAATTAATTCATCTTTTTTTTACCAGATGATAAAGTCCTAAGGATGATTGATGTACTTACACCTGCAAGAATTACTCCTCCTGAAGAAGTCAGTGAGTAAAATTTCTCTACATTTTATTTAGGAAAGAGTCACACCTTCATCTTTATTCTTATGAAAATGTAACATCCAGAGCTTTCCAACACTGATTGGCTGTTATATATATTTGATAGTGTTTGCATCAGGAGATTTGCCCTACCGAATGTGTTATCGTACTGAATGCTCAGTACGTTCCCAAATACTAGCAAAAAAAAATCTTGCAAGTGATTTGGGGAGAATCGAACCCATGACCTCCAGATAACCAACCTGTCTTAACCACTAAACCACAGAACTTGCGCTTAGTGACAAGTGTTGAATTCAATCCCCAAGTAGCAATGGGTACTGTAATGCTAATCTTGTGGTGTTTTGCATCTTGAGATTTCATATGAATGATGTTTTTGCCCTACCGGATGTGTTATCGTACATCATTTCTGCTATACATGTTCATTTACGTTAAGATAAGCTCACTGAATGCATTGTACGAGGGCATGTTATTGTCAGAGACACTGTAACACATCAGTTTGGTTAGAGCAGTATTGCTAGCTCAGATATTTTTGGCTGAAAATATGTTCCATATTGTATTGTCAGTATTGTGTATGTAAAATTTCTGACATCTCACGAATTAAGATTTGTATGGGTTGTGAGAGTAACAATATAAAATTGAATCGTATTACTCTCTGGTTGTGAATGAGCAACTTCAATATGCTTTAATACATCTTCTAATGAGCCTCTTATTTTACATTGTAGATTGTGGCTGTCTTCTGTTGCTATGACAGTGATGTTGTATATATGATTTTGTTTTAATAGTATCTTTTAGTAGCAGTAGTGAGAGTTCATCCTTATCATCAGAATCACCCGATGAAAGGCAGAGGAGTACTGTAGGTATGTGAATGCTTTTTTTCATATTTACTGTATTTACCAATATATTTAACACAAAAACTGTTGCCATAAATAATACAGTATAGTATTAATAAAAAGTATTTTGATACATAAAGCTAAATATATAATAATGATATTAATATTAAGCTAAGAACATGTTACAATAAAGTGGTTGATCATCATTTTTTCCCCCAAAATGTTTATATGGACTACACTATAAGGCAGAAGATACTTCAAAACTTTGTTGTTCTGTTTACATTTAAGTTGATCTTCCTATCCAGCAAGTTGAGGTGTTTAAGAAGGAGTCAAGTCCCGAATTACCTGAAATTAATATTCCCAGAAAAGAAAGTGATTTCAAGTAAGTTAAAGTGGCATATCTCAAAAGTTGGCCTAATGATTATAGGCCTACATGAATTTTAATGTAATTCATCTGAAGCTCTCCATCTATTAGTAGATGCAGTTTGGCGCAGTGGGTTGATTTCCAGCCTCGAGGCCAGGGTTTCAATCCTTCACTGTGAATTTCGCTTGTTTCCTTGAGCAAGGCACTTTATCTACAGTGCTTCAGTCTATCCAGCTGTATCAAATTGCTGGGAGTAACCTGTGGTGGTCCAACGTCCCACCCAGGGGGAGCATCACACTCTCATCCGCTTCACGCTTTATGAAACTGGGGATAAGGTCCAGCCCTATGGGCCCTAGTGGCTTGGCAAGGATTTACTACTGCTCTCCATCTAGTGATAATGCCTTTCTTGTCTCATAAGTCCGAACACTTCCAGGTTTACTATCTATCTATGTCCCTAAATGGGCAACACAGTAAATAAGACATATAGTAGAATCCTTTTTTGGGACACCCCTATTAATGGGATAATTTCTTTGTCTTAAAGGTGTTCCCTTGATAGAAGTTCTATGGAATGAAGTTTATTATAATAATATAATTGTTAAACATTTTTTAAGAGAGAGAACTAAACAATTCAGGCAAATATCACCTAAGGTTGGCATGTAGCCTGTCCTTCTCATGTTGCTCATAATCCATTGCATTGCAAGTCTTCACATACTGTATTCTCAGTCCGAATTCTCTAGTTACTTATTACCAATGCATTACTTTACTTACTTTAAAGTCATTATCCATGTTCTGCTCCACCATCCCCAAAACTGCAATCCAAGAGTAAGTTAGAGGTAAAAGAAGAAGAGAAGAAAATAGTGAAAAAAAAGAAGAGGAAACCAAAGAAACCTAAAGAGGATAAGGAGAACCTGGCATTGGATATTAGACCAGATCATGAACAAGCAAAATGCATTTTAGTAAGTTGTATATTATCAGTAGGCAGTTTTCATCGCACGACGTTAAACTTAACGTTAACGGATGACATCATAATTTATTCATCTTGCATTGCGGAGTACATTAATTTGAGGATTTTACGTGCTCGACGTACGTTAGTTACTGGTTTGCGCATGCGTATTTCGATTTGTTTACAAAAAATTGCGGAGCTATCTTGTTGCATGTTGGGTACTAACGTTAATGTTAAGGTTAACGTCGTGCGGCGAAAACTACTTATTTTGTTGCAAAGACCTCTAAGACTTAAATGAGCAATGCAATGTTTATTTGAATAGTTTTTTTTTCAGATTCTTAAGCTCTGTCCACACTATCAAATTTTGAGACAAATTTGTGTGGTGTACCCATATATGCACATGATGATGTCATACTACACCCAAATATGGGCATTTTACATTTATTTGTTTACATTTACATAAAATTTGGTAGTGTTGGCAGATCTTAACATAAACAGTATATCTTACTTTTGATAGTGGCACCTATCCATGGCATGTATCCATGGAACCTACCTATAGACTGTATTCATGGCACCTATCCATGGAATCTACCTATTGAATGTATTCATGGCACTCATCCATGGCACGTATCCATGGAATCTACCTACTGAACGAATTCATGGCACCTATCCATGGCACGTATTCATGGCACATCTGAAGTCTTTGTTTCAAATCTCAATTGGGCCAATATTGAATTCTCTCAATTTTGTATTCCATTATTTTATTAGTATGATATGATATGACATTTCAGCTTCATCCTGTGCTCAGTTGTTCATAACAATATAAGCAAATCTTAATAAGATCTTGATAAAATCACTTCATTGTTAAAGTGTTGGCCACTGTCTCAGAACACTCTTATTATTTTATAATTTTATTTAATTTCCGGTTAACAATACAACAAAAACATGGCAATTGTGATAAAATACCCTGTGGATTGCCATAAGAGCTAGTCACTATTGTAACAGATCTCCATTACTTATCAAAGTTTTATTTAAAAGTACTTATGAATCAAAAGAGAATATCAATGGTGACATTTTCTTGCTGTCTTCTGATTCATCAGATATTAAAATTGAATATCAATGACAGATTCTCTTGTTAACAACATATTTTATAAAAGATACAAAAACAAGTTAAACAAAAAATTTCATGATTTAATTTGTTGACAAATATTTTTTTACCTACAACAACAAATTGGCCATACAAGCTCAGACTATGTGCTGCTCAATGTATTAAAGTCTCATTAAAAATCTTAGGGATTGGATTAGTGATGAACAATTTGGGATTTGAATCCATGACCCTGGGATGTTAAAGGTGAGCACTTTAGACACCGAATCATAACATCGTCCTCAGTATAAATTTGTTTTATTGATTTCAGATTGCTGGTCATGAAGGATTGGAGGAAGAGAGAATGGAAGGTGATATACTGACTAGGCACCTGAACAAGGTGTCCAGGATGGTGAGAGCTGTCAAAAGAGTAAGAAGATTACAGGTGAGTTTATGCACAGTGTCACAGTCAATATTATAGGATATACTGACTAGGCAACTAAACAAGGTGTCCAGGATGTTGAGGGATGTCAAAAGAGTAAGAAGATTACAGGTTAGTTTATGCAAGGTATCACAGTCAATAATATGATATACTGACTAGTAGTAGGAAACATCTTCATAATAATAAGTATCATTGCATTCTTCTATGTGATGAAATTCGCTCAAAAATTGCTGATATCAAGACATTCTCTAACAATCTCATGTAAACTGAACAATCACTACTGCAATCAACTACCTGGCTTAAAGGAATAATGCTCAGCTTTGCTGAACACCATTGAAAATGAAATGAAGAAAGTCTCTGAATGTCATGACCGTAACATAAAAAAACTTATAAGGGAATATGGAATCATCAATAGCACCTGAACAAGGTGTCCAGGATGGTGAGGACTGTCAAAAGAGTAAGATTACAGGTGAATTTATGCACGGCATGGTATCACGGTCAATCGGATATACACTTAGTAATAAGGGTGTTTACTGTAGGCATTAAAGGATTATATATTTGGATGTTAGCCAGGCAAACCATTTGGCTGACAGTATAAATGAGCAGTTTTTAAACCACCTACGCTTTGGCCCCAAAATACAGGGGGTTTGAAATCTAGTGAGTATGACAAATTTTGACAGTCTTATTTGAATTTCAGCTAGAGATTGTTGAGTATCCATCAATCAATCAGTCAACCAAGCTTATTGGATGAATTTGATTGAAATCTGTTGGGACAAAATTCACAAATATCATCTGACAATCTGACTAGGATAATTAACAGGATGACAGTGATATCGTTGCACCTTGTTTATGATATGAGTTTATTGATTTACACAAACTATAAAAAAGTATGAACAATATTTCACCAAATAATCATGTGTTATTATAGCATACTGTATGAGTTCTTGTAGATTTTCAATTCAATCAACTTTTATTTTGGATTAGTTCCACAGACAGTACAACCACCACTTTCAAGTAAAGCCTAGTACCATACAGTACAATCAAGGGGACTTTTAAATGGTATAATTAAGTATATACAAACAATATAAATATATTAATATTAATCTAAATCATTAATTAATTAATAACAGAGCATGTGTCTACAACAGCAACATAGGTCTACTGTGCCGATACGCTGATTCCACTTTAAGAACAATTTAGAATCACATAACACCTTAAGCTTTGTCTACACTATCAAATTTTATGTGACAAAAAAATGTGATGTGCCCATATATGGGTACGATGACATCATATCACATACTATCAAATTGTATCAAAAAATGTTAAACATGTTCAACTCTTATTTTCCATCACATTTTATGTGATGCTTTTTTGATGAAATTTGATAGTGTAGACAAAGTTTAGAGTACTCACATTTGATAAGGCATATAAAGCATAAGGCATATAAAGCATAAGTAAATCGGGGTTGGAGCTGGGCTTCCAGCATCTTATATAATTTGGAAAATCTGGTTTGTTATTATGTAATTGATTATATTTCAAAAAATGTTGTAAAACAAATTGACCATTGTTAGTATGACAGAAATAATAGCATTGGAAATGAAAACTGTGTGTAAAGATAGATAAACAAACACAGAAAACCTTGTAATATATTTGGTAAAGGTAAGTACATTCTTAAAGATTGTAAATAACACACAATCAAAAACACAGGATTTGAATTAGTATTCCTTAAAAACATTGTATACTTAATAGAAATTGGAAAACATAACAAATAGAAAATAAAGTCAAGTCTGACCTGCCAAAATGTTATAGAAAATAATTTATTGAAAAGAAATATTGTTATTATTATAATATTATTATTAATAGTGATAATTCTAAATGCAAATGTTTTGAAATTCTAGTGATAATTCTAAATGCAAATGTTTTGAAATTCTTTAATGGCATTTTTCAGGTCAAAGTCCACCCGTCTGTGATGTACCAATTCAATGTTTGTGAGTGTTGTGACCTTTGTCTGAGAAGGTTCCATAAAGTAGTTAAGAGAGCTCGCATCATTGGAACTGACCAGCCCTCTGTCAAATCAATTTACATGCACATAGTTTTACAGAAGGCCCTCTAGAGTTCATTCTGGAGATAGCGTGATCAACAACGTCTAATAAGACACAAATCAAAACAATTTAGTTTTCACATTTATATTATAGCTTTTTATTTTTGAAAATTTTTAAATTTAGTAACATACAATTTAAAGCCTTACAATGAGAAGAATTTAGTAACTTCATTATTCTTGCACCTTTTAAATTGTTGAGGAAAACATTTTCTTGTTTTAATTTTTCAGTTTAAAAGTAATAAATTATTTATGAACAGAGATTCGAATATCAAAATGAAAGTATCTGTAAGCATTAATGCAATCTGTAACTTTTAGATTTAGACTTACAAAAAAAGTATTGTACGCAACAGCAACAGAAACAACAGGTTGTTAGCGACCCACTTTAAGGGATCTACAGTCGCATTATACATAACAAAGATTGTAACATCAAATTGACTTTTACAATCCGATTTTCAAGCAAAGCCCTCCCACAACCCCTATCAACCTCCTTTCTCTACAATCTTCTTATTGAGTTGATTTAAGATTATTTAATCCAAGTATTACCATATGTTTTTGGTCAGACATAGGAAATTAGTAATATAAACATGGAAACTGTACAATACCATAAACAACTGCCTGGGTGAGAGTAGATTTCCCACGTGGCTACTCAAGTCACTTCTGATTTGCCATTTTGATTTTATTCAGTTAAAAGCTATGATTGGTCACGTACACATATATACGGTAGGCAGCGTACTTTGAGGTGATATGTAGAGGGAGTGTTTATAGACTCATAGGAGAAAAAGCAGAGCTGAACACAATTCTGACCCTTGTGATTGGTACATTACAAAAAACTTTTTTTTTTTGAAATTTTTTTTGTTTTAAAAAATCAGTAATACATATACATCACCATTTTCAAATGTGTTTCCTATCAGATAAATTTGAGACTGAATCGTCATTAATAATTATTGTTATTAATGTTCAAGGTGAAACCTCATTATAAATCCAAGTACGAAATATGGGCCACTCCTAGATTTAACTGTTAAATTTATTATTTTCCTTACTAAGACAGATTTTAAGCCCTCATCCCCTGAGTGTTTTCACGCAGTTTCCTTACCCCAGTGTCCACACCATTGTCTCCATTCCCAGTCTCTCTTTCCCTACTAATTCCAGTTCCAGGGATTTTGTTCTGGGTCCATTTCGGCTATGTATATGCTACAGATGCTAAGCTTTCTAGTAGATGGTGGTACTCATCATATATTAATAAGTCCAATTTCCCTTTTTCAAATCTCTCATGACGTCTGAGCCACTTAAGCAAATTATTGTAGTCAGTATATGCCTCCGGTAGGTCAAGCTCAGTAATGTTGTATTAAGGATGGGAGCATTCAGTTGACCTGTGGTAGGCCCTTAATAGAGCTTTGGAGCATTCAGTTGACCTGAGCTAGGCCCTTATGGGGCCACAGAGCATACTGTTGACCTGAGGTTTCCCCCTGTTGGGCCACGGAGCAGACGGTGGCCTGAGGCACCAAGTTCCCAAATACCATTGTATTTGACTGAAGGAAAATGGCTCTGCAAATTGCTGCATCTAAATTTTAAGGACTTTATTTTAGAAGAGATTGATATTGAAAGTAGTTTTTTGTTAATCTTTGTGAAATCTTTGTGAAATAATTATTATTTTATTAATTTCTTTTCTGACTCCTGTGCTATTTACATGTTTACATAAAAAAAAACAATAAAAAAATGCAAGCATTGATTGAAATTTGATTATTTTTAAATAGGGCATTATAAAAATTACATTTATTATTGTTTAAATATTATTAGTTTTATTAAAAATTCCCAAGGTGTTACTCCTATTATTGTTATTGATAATGTTATCATCACTGTTTTTGTTAATATTTGATTACTGTTGTTGTTGCTGTTGCCGACTGCCTCCGTTGTAATTGTTATTAATATTATTTTTGTTTTTATCATTGAAGTGAAGATAATAAAAGTTTATGGAAGCATTATAAGACTTTATATTAAGATGCTATTTTGTCAGTACCAGAGTCCTGGGTTCAAATCTTTTGAAGAATCAGTATGGTTTCTTGTGATTAAAAAAAAAAACAGGTCCACTTCCTAAACCTCAAAGTTTATAGAGCATCAGTTAGTTCCTTCCTGTAGGCCTAATTGACGAGTTCTGAACTTGCTGTCGTATGAGATGGAAAAAATAAAATTCACTGTGCTATAATTACATTTAAACTGAATTTCCTTAAATGTTTCAGGGTCATTCAAATGCTGTTTGTTGCCTTAAGTTTGACAGAAGACGCATAGTAACTGGTTCATACGACCACTCCATACGTGTTTGGGACATACGCAGTGGTCGTAGCATACACAAGATCTATGGTCATAAGGTAAGCTACAAGCCACAAAATTCCCACCTCAACCACAATAACACAGTTACTTGCCTTATCTAATACAATGCAATTATCTAGATTGTGTTTTTTCAACTTGTATAATTGCCCATTTTTTTATGACTCATTCAAGTTCATTCAAATAAATTTTTGATGAAAGAAATCAGAATTTAGCCAAACTGTTTGAAAATTCCCATGTGTAATAAAATGGATCTAAGATGAAAGACAAAGATATAATATACTGGTTCAAGTAAAGGTTAGTCAGCTCATGCCTAAAGCTATCCGGGTGACAAGTACAATAAGGATCCTCTAAATATTTTGTATATCTGGTTTATTTACTGATCATTTGGCAAGACATCTCTTGTTCACTTTAGGGCCATTGAGTCAAATACCTATCTGGATCACACTCCACTCCCTGTTTGGGTGTTTCATAATGTTGCAATAGTGCTAAGTCGTATTGGCATTTGATTCTAACAAGTACGGCGCACATTTCTGGTTAGAATGGATATAGTGCCTGCCAAAGTCTCAAGTATGTAGCTAGAATGGGAATCAAATATTGAGTTATCTGAACTGTAAATAAGCCAACCGCTGCTGATGGTCTTAGCATAGTGATATTACTCATCTCATTTAGTGTATTTGTACCAATTCTCCTGACTGTACAAAATTTATCAATAACATAAAATGTGCTGTAGAGTGTATGCTTGTATTGTACTCATGTATTTACTCCTCCCAGCCTGTATGTCTTAATATCAGGCTGTCTGTGATCATACATTTGGTGTCTGTATGCTACTCTGAAACCAGATTGTTTTCCTTTGTTTCTTTTAAGATAAATTTTTTTAAATACTAACAGTGAAAATTTTATTTTGCTATTGACTGCCTATCCAATAAATGTTTATTTTGATTGCCAATATCTGATATTGTGATCTAAAACCACCACACACCCTCCCCCACCCCTCCACCCTTGGCATACATTTTGGACCGCCAGTCAGCAAATTTCTGGAGCCACCGATGTTGACTGTCTGAAGAGATCTTTGCAAAAATTTATGAATTTCCCTTTAGCAAATAGAGTCATATAAGCAACTCTGCTTATCAAATAGTGACAACCATTCCTAAAATCATTTTCATTAATTTCAAAAATGATTGTGACATTACTGACCTGCGAAATACCTGACCGGATCGTCTGTAAAGTAACTGGTGATGACAATATCGTCTGAATGTTTCACGGTGGGTTGATACACTTTGAATTAGTGTCTACAAGTGCCATTCAAATTCAGATATTGAGGATAAATTACAAACTTATAACTCATGGTCTTATAATTGACCTGATTTGAAAGACTGTCTCTAGTGAAACTTGAAAAGAACACCTTAAAAATAATTTTAAACATTGCAGGGGTCATAAAGCTCTGTCCACACTATAATTTTATGTTTTGGGTGTAGTATGACATCATCATGCCCATATATGGGCGCATCACACAAATTTGTCACATAAAGTTTGAAAGTATGGACAGAGTTTAAAGTCCTGTCCACACTATCAAATTTTATTTGAAAAAAAACTGTATACGCCCATAATCATGATGTGCCTATGGTCATGGTGTGATGTCATCATGACCATATTTAGGAATGTCATGCTTGTCAAATATAATGTTAGTCTGGACAGGGCTTAAATATACTAAATTACAAATCACATCCAAGTAATGTACTTCTTATTCCCTAAAGGGTGGTGTACGATGCATAGAGTTCAACGACCAATGGATAATCAGTGGCTCTTGGGATTCGACAATAATGATCTGGGATGTGGTGAAGTTCACTCAAGTAGCTGTTCTTTATGGGCATACTGATGTTGTGTCTACACTACAACTAATTGGTTTAAAATATCTGTAAGTACATGTTTTTGTTTTCCATATATTATTTTTCTAGTCATTCAACCACTTGTTACGCTTTATGTATCTTCAGATCTACTTACAAGCTACCACCCACTTTAAAAAGTTGTTAAATTTACAGAAAGATTTAGTGCATTGAAGCAGTTATTGGTATACCAAAAAACTGTATAGAAGTTTGACATAGGCTCTGTATAGATCAATTATGTAACGTTCTTGGAAATGTGTTGTGAGTGGTTTTGTTTTAGGCTGCTAATTTGGACAAGAGGTCAGTGATTCTGAGGCTGACTCTCCCCCAACCCCATGTTACAAGTGTCCTTGCACAAGGCTGTTTATCTGCATTGCTTTTGTTCACCCAGGGTTAAATGGGGGGGGGGGCATGTCGCATGTGGTAGGATCAGTGAGTGTTCTTGGGCAAGCTACTTATCTACATGCTTCTGTCCACCCAAGGGTTAATAGGGTCATGGTAAGATAGTGAGTGTTCTAGTACTAGTACTGGTATAGGCATTTATAATGCACCTCTTCCTTGAGGTTATAAAGTGCAGTTCTTTTCCCTGGTCATTGGGTCCACATGCTAAGTGTTGCTGCTGGAAATCAGCGCAGGAGCAGGCAACCCTACCAGGTACCCATTTATACTCCTGGGTGGCACTTTATCTAAATTGCTTCTGTCTGCCCAGGAGTGATGTACCTTGTAGGATAGTAAATCTGAGAGATTATTTATGACAAATAGCGCCCCCTATTTTTCAATGTAGCTAAAGGAATTTTTTAACCCAGAATTTCTCTTTCATTATAACTGAAGTTACGTTAAATGTTTTCCTCAAGCATGAGATAAGGGCTTTCATGCATGTGATCTAATTTGGTGGGAAAGTGCGAGAAAGATGCATAATATTTGAGAATTGGCAGGGTTAAAATAATTCTATAATAGAAATTCATTATTCATCATTTCTCGAATGTTTGCATGGCAAGTATTATTAGTAACAAAATTATTAAACTTTCAGTACACCATGTGTAAAAATACGGTTTTTGACGTAAAACAACTGGTTGGTTGTCTCAATGTTTCGGTGAGATTTCTGACAGCAGAATTTCGGTTTGAGCAATCTCACCAAACCAACCAACCAGTGGTTTTTACCTAAAAAAAAATCATTTTTACACATGTGTACTAAAAGTTTAATGATCTTGTTAGAGAAATTTATTGTAATTGTTGATATTGTTATTACACAATAAGAATGCATGCTTATTGTCATTTCTCAAAGGTTTGGCTCAAAGGCAACCTCCGAAGGACTCTGAAGACTTAAATGTAGAAATAGTACAGGATGGTAGAATGTGCTTGATTTGCAAAAAAAATAATTAAAACTTGTTATACATAATTGAAAATGTGTTATTAATTGCCTCAATTTGAAGGGGCATGTTACTAATTATTTTTAATAAACAAGATTATATTACCCTTGTCATACATAACCATAAATTAATTCCCTTAATTTAAAAAGGGCATGTGTGATAATTATTTTTTAATAAACAAAATTATTTTAAAATTGTCATGTATAACTGTAAATTAAGTAATACCCTTAATTCGAAGGCAATATGTTCAATGTTCTCATTAAACAAATAAATGATATAAAGGATATGTTTTGAAACCAATTTAGTTAAACTTGATAAAAACCAATCATCAGCATGACATTGAAAAGAATAAATAAAAATCTCATGATGTTATGACAATTTTCATTTCATATTTTATTTTTAAACAGTGTTTAATGTTATGTTTTTCTATATAGCAAAACGTATGTTTCACTATCTTATATATAGGTAGGAAAT